GGTTCTCCAAACACCTTCTGAGATTTCACTCCACACTGGCTCTAGGAATTGAGCAGCTACACACTCTTCTTCCTGAGTGAGAGGAGAGGTCACAGGGCACTGTGTGTCACTGATTTTCCCTGCCACTTCCTTGTCCCTCTTCCATCTCACTGCTCTTATAAAGTCCCAGTGCTGTGTATTGGTACTGATAACGCACTCACTTTTAGGTAATTCTGGCACTGGGCTAAGTGTGCACAAATCACCCTCGAATCTTCACGGGAAATGTGGTGGTGGCGGCAGTGGTGGTGGTGGTGGTGGTGGCCAATTCATAGAAGGCAGGAAGTCGAGAGGCAAAGTTAGCCGCTCAGCAGCGGTGGAGCCTAGCTGTGGCGCCTTTGTTTCCAAACTTCCAAGCTCTTGCCTTTCTGTGGTTTCAGCCTCCTGTATTGCTATATTTCCAAGTGAGCTATATTCCAAAACTGTAAGTTTAGTTGTGTGACAGATGTGACTTGGCGTGTTTATTTGAATTCCTCTTGACATTGTAGTTTCCACTTTAAAATCCACCTTTCATCCCTCCATGGCTCACAGGGGACACAGAACTTGTCTGATCCCCCCTCCCCGACCCCAGACGTTCCAGAACTTCTTCTGGATGCCATGAATGGGGTGTATGAGGCAGGCGATGTCATCACTCCTGATAGCTTCATCCAACCCCAAGGGACTTCCCTGGCATCAGCTCAGCAGTGGATCTGTGGTCAGTGCCTCCGCCGTGGAGGGGAGAGCACACATCACTGCTGTTTTCTTGACTTCGTTCCTACTGCTATCGGGAGTTGCATTCAGCTGGAGAAATATTCAAGGATGGGACTGAAAATGAAGCCGGAGGAAGGCCTGGCGCTCTGTACCTGACCACAAAGCCCGTTCTCTGTGGCCTCCCCGTGGGAGAACTGTCCGCGCCTCTTTTTCATATAAAGCCATATACTGCAAGTTAGATTCTGTGGGAAGAAATATCACCCAGAGGCACTTTGGTGGAATTTCAATCTGAGAATTACAGATTATGGTTATTTTGTATGTCGTTTGACCATGTCAGTGTTTTAAAGTCATAAATCTTGTTTTTCAACTGTGTCAAACTCAGACTCTTAATTGAGGCTATCCTGAGCAAGTCCATCAAAATTATTTTGCTTGAGTGAAGTAGTGGCTGTCTTAGCCATTTCAAGGGGCTGGACCCACGGAAGTCCGCGTGGCTGCCCATGGCACCAGGGACCAGAGCCAATGATCACAATGGACCGGGAGCCCCAGAGTAGGTGCATCCTTCTTAGTCCAGAATCCTGACGCAGCCAGTTCTGGTCCTGGTGATGTGGAGAGGGGTCCCTGAGCCACCTGCAGCAGGGAGCAGGGGACCCCTCCTATTGAACCTGTCCTCTCATGTCAACTCTCACTCCCAGCCATGCAGCACCACTGCCCACCCTCTGTGCTTGGACAGTCTTGCACTTCTTCCCTGGATTAAGTCTGATGCTCCAGCTGGAGATTTAGCTCAGTGGCACAGTGCCTGACTGGCAAGTGCAAGGTCCTGGGTTCAGTTCCTGATATCTAAAAAAAAAAAAAAAAGAGTCTGATGAACAAGGTGATGGTGGGAATGGAAAATGGGTCTCATTCCTGGGAAGTATTTCAAAGAATATGCTATAGGAAACAGTTCAAAGTTTTTCACCAGTATGTATTTGTTATTGTTGATTCTCTTTTATCTTCAAAGTTTCACTTAATGCTGACAAGCTGATTATGGGCCCCATGAACCCCTTCCACTCCATGCTGTTATTATTATAATTACTATGTTATCATGTCTCTCCTCTCTGTCTGTCTCTGTCTGTCTCTGTTTCTGTCTGTCTCTGTCTTTCTGTCTCTCTCTCTCTGTCTCTGTCTGTCTGTCTGTGTGTCTGTCTGTCTGTCTGTCTCTCTCTCTCTCTCTCGCTCTCCCCCTTCTGTTAGCTTTCTTCCCCAATATTCAAATATGATTCCACCTCTTTCAAGTGATCAGCCATGACCTCTCCCTTCCCCTCTCCTCCCTCCCTTTCCTCCCCTCTAGTCTCCTCCCCTCTCCTCCCTTCCCTCCTTCCCCTCTAGTCCCCTCTCCTCTTCACCTCCTGCTCCACCTCCCTCTTCATGCCCAGGCGAGCAAGTCTGGTCCTCTCTCTCCTCCCACTTACTGAGAGGGCTGCTGCTGATGTCGTGGGCAAGCGTCACCTTGCCCAGCCTCCAGATACTTGCTCTGCTTATCACATGCATTTTCCAGAGGACATAGACCAGATATTTAATCTGGGAGAGTGTAAAAGTCAAAGAGTGAAGACAGCATCACTCCTAGTCCCACGCTGTCACAGAGCCATGGCCAACTCCTGCAGTGTGTGTGCTCCTGTGTTTAAACCCTTCAAGAGTCTGTGTTCACTAAGTTTTGGATGCTGCCTGTACTGAAGAGGTGTCAGCAGACAGCGGGCAGTGGGGGACCTCTCACTCAGGTGGGCAGTGGTGGGACCCAGGCTCTAAGTCAGATCTACAAAGATGTCTCACTTCCAACTCTTTCTGTACTTGCCATAAGTTGCAGTCATTTTTTTGATTCATCAAAACCTCGCTCCTCCAGCGGAGTCATCTTGTCCCTTCTGGTTGGGACATTCTCCTAGGCATGGAAAGGCAAGTGCTTTCCAGTATTTCCTCTCACAAATAGCTCAGCAGTGAAGGTCTTGGGAACGTAACTTTTTATGTGTTCCAGATTATTTTATCTCGTCTCCCAAGCAGGTTCACTGGGCTGGCAAGGATCAGCTCCATGCCTTGTTACATTATCTCTGCTTTTGTTGCTACTGGGAGGGGAAGGAAATTCAGTGGGTTTGCCCCTCCGCCTCAAGTCCCAAGAGCCTGCCCAGTGCCCTCTCCTTGCCATCACCTACTTTCCCCTGAGAATCCTTCTGGGGGTTTCACTTTTGCTGACCCCTTAGCGATTTTCACTACAAGAGAAGGTTATACTAGAACTCTGGATGACGAATTTGGGTCCCCTCCTCTGGTGTATTTGGATCCACCCCTTTGCCTACTTTCAGTGGTTCGGTACGGCTGTTGGATCTGGTGGTGTTCTTTCCTCCCTGACTCTCCCCATGTTTCTCCCCAATTTGCTTTTGTCTCCTTTCCTAAGCTCTGTTGTTTTGTTCTTTTCCCCTTCCACCTCACCCTTCCCAGCTCCCTCTCCTCTGGGGGCACTGCACCCTCTGTTTCTGAAGCTCCCCTGGGGTCTGTCTGTCTGTCTCCTGAGAACTCTCCTGTACTCATTTCGGTGGGCCTTGGGCTTTCAGTCTCTTCTTCTAGAGGCTCAGCTTCTCCTACCCAGAGTCTTAAACCCTGAAACAATGCCCCTGAGATCAGCAGGTCTGCAGGGTCCCAGCGTCTGGCAAGTCATTGTCAAGAGCGCCTGGAATCCTCATCAGCTGAGCACGGCTGTCCTCAGGCCACTGGGTGGAAACTAAAGCACACAGAGGCCCTTGCGAGCCAGCGCAGGGTGGCCCGAGGCCCGGCCCACATGCCTTCCCATGTCATCTTCGGCGGAAATGAGGTTCAAAAGCAGCAAGATGCTTTTTCCTTAGCAACAAAACAAGCAGTTTCTCATTGCCAGGCAAATGCACTCACTTCCTAAGCGTTGGTGCCCCACTTAGGAGCAATCTGCTGTATGGGAACCGTTCCGGAGGCCTCCCAGGATTGATCTGCGGTTTTACAATAATGTATGTAAAGTACCAATTAATACTCTGATCGTCTCTTTGAAATGCCCGGGGAGAGAAGGAAAAGAGGCACTCATGGCTTTAAACAGTCCGGGCTGTCCATTCCAAGTGAGTGGGCTTAAGGAAGTGTCGAGGTTCTCCGGTGTAGCAGGAGGACTCCACGCTGTCCTGGTCACGTGATCGCGGGCAGCCTGGAGGAAGTGTGCAAAGGGAAGGAGATTTGCAAGGGGGGGGGGCATTGCTTGATTCACCCACAAATGCCTGTGACCTACCTGACGCGAGGCTGTGGGAGTCCTGTGGTGAGCCAGGTAGACAGGATCCCGGCCTCAGTGAGCGAGAGGGACTGAAGAGACCGCTGCACAGTTTGGTACGGGGGCGCGTGTTGTGGGAACAGGTACCCAGGAGCCTGCCCCAGCATCTGCCTAACAAAGGAAGGGTATGTTGAGGCCAGGAAGAAGGTAGGAGGTGACCGGTAGAGAGAGGGGTTGTGGGGAGGGCTCCAGGCGGAGGACGCGGCACCCAGAGGACAATGAGAGCAGGCGCTGCCAGGCCACGTTGTCAGGAGTGCTGGGGGAGGTGTGCAGGTGCTGCGGGTGTAAGGGCAGGGTGCCGCTTTTGCTCTAGACGTGCCCTGTTTGCCTGCTGTGCAGGACAAGCTGGGGAGGTGCAGTCAACTGTTGGTACATTTGTCTGTGGCTTGGGACATGGGTATGGGTTAGGGTTTGGAGACAGAGGGCGGCGCCTCCTCAGGGCACTGTGAGCGTCGCGGAGTGAGCCACAACCCCTAGACAGATGAGGCTCACTAAGGCCAGGCAGATGGCCTGTGCCAGAGCCCTAGAGCAGAGTGCCAGCGTCCCTGGGGCCCACCAGCTAGCCCTGGAGTCTCGGGGTGACACTGGGTGCACTGAGCTTGCAAGGCCCTTTTCCCTTTTGCTTGGTTGGGGCACAGCGAGGCTGTCTGCCTGCCTGAGGGCCACATCTTCTGCCCAGAGGAGCTGCAGGCTCCCGGGGCTCAGTGCAGCAGCGGCTACGCAAGCCCAGGGAGCGCTATGGGCTGGAGGGGTCTCCGTACACCCGCCCGAGTGCTCAGCAGGCCCGAGGGCTAGGGAAGAGGTGCCAAGGGCTCAAGGGCTGGCCGGGCCTGGGAGCATGCGGAGTGAGGAGCTGGGGTACAATTACCTCGGTAGGCCAAGCGTCCATGGGGGGCGTGGAGTAAGGGGGAAATGGGGCATAGCCCCAAATTGCTGGTTACACATCTCTGTCCCCAAACCTCTGCAGGAAAGATGTCCTTCGAGGGAGCCCGGCTCAGCATGAGGAACCGGAGGAACGGTACGCTGGGCAGCACGCGGACGCTCTACTCCAGCGTGTCTCGGAGCACAGACGTGTCCTACAGCGACAGCGTAAGTCGACCCCGCCCACCTGCACAGGACAAAGGCTGGTCCAAGCAGGATAATTCCGTGGCCCATCTGCCTTCTTTAACATTTTAGAGGAACTCTTCAAGCGTCAAGTACTATTTGTGTTGTGAGTTCTTTTTTTGTGGACCACAGCAGCCTTTTCCTTTCTGTGTGTTTTCCCAAGCATTTCCGTTTTAGGGTTGTAACTGTCACTTTGATAAGTCACTGGGCAGCATCACCTTTGCTAGTGGCTTTCAGGAAACAGTCCTGTGTGCTTCACACTGGGTACTCCTGTTTCCCACCCTGTGGGCTCAGGACTGATCCTGCAGCCTGTGCATCTGTCCGGTTCTGCTCCCGGGCCTCAGGTGGGGTGCTAGGAATCAGTTCTTGCAGTTTTCTTCCTCATCAGTCCTTGGGGACCCATCTCTCCTGACCTGAGCCAGTGTCCTTGTGGCTTTCAGTGCTTGGACATGTTCAGCCTTGGCTCTCAGGGTGTGCGCCAGCAGGAGCTGGTCCCCCCAAACTCGCTGACACCACACAGGGTACCCGACCCCATAGGTTTTCTACACCCTCAGGCCATGTGCTGTGCTCTCATTTGTCACAGTCCAGTCTGACATCTGGTCCCTCTGAGCACACCGTGGAGAGTCTGGACAGCAGCTATCTTTGCAAAGAAAGGAAGGGAGGAAGGAAGGGCTGCTGGTTACCTCCGCCTCTAATCCAGCTGGTGGGTCTTCAGGGCGCTGACTTCATGTCCTTCCACTGAGCTCTAAGAAAAGTCACGCAAGCAAGCAAAAGCTTCCTGCCCTCCTCCAGCTGGGGTTGGCCTCCCAGCACCAGCAGTGGGACCAGCAAGGCAGGCACCAGGGTGCAGCATGTAGGGGGCCTTCTGCCCCCAGGGGCTACCCTGCACTCACAGGGCCTGCAGACCGAGTTCCTCTGTGGGCTTTGCTCCCAAGTCTCCCCTGAGAAATAGAATTGACAGGGACGGTGGTGGCTTCCACAACATTCCTACCATGTGCTTTTTGTTTTCATGACCCCAAGCCATGAAGCGCCCTTGAGACCCCACCCCCAGAGCCAACTGAGCCTCAGGCATCAGTGTGCCTGAGTGGCTGGCAGAGACCACTGTGTCCATGACCTCTGGCCCCCACGACATCCCCTGCTGTCCTCCCAAGTCAGCCTCCTGTGTCAGGCCGCCTGGCACTCGGGCCTCCTAGGCCATGGGCTTGTACCTCACCTCAAGTACATGCAGGTCTGCAGAGGGCATCATCTCAGAGGGTATTTTTAGCAACAGAGCTTCACTTCTCTGACACAATCACCATTTTCACAATCATCATTTTCAGCTTAAGTAGACTCAAGATTAATTACACAGCCACAAGCTATTAGGGAGCAAAGCAAGCACCACAGATCCACAAACTTTCTGCATGGAGATGAGCATAGGGGCTATTATTACTTTCAAATTATTTTTGTGACATCAACAAAGAAGAGGATATACAGACCTAAGTTCCCAGCTTAAGGAATAGTGTCACAGGTGTGCTGGTACCCATCGCCAGCTTCAAAATAGAATGCCACAGCGCTGCAGAAGTCCCCCTGTGCCCTGTCTGCTGGGAGCCATCGCTCCTGTCAGTTGTCACAACTGCTGGCTGGAAACTTGTGTCACTTGCTCCTTGATTTATGGACAGGTATGACATGTTGTTCTGCTTTGTCCATGTTTTATGTTCATGGTGTCGTGCAATAAGCACCCTTCTGTGAGTTTTTCATTTTTCAATGTATTGTTATTGTCGCAGTCAGGATCACGATGGCAGCACTGAGGCCGAGCTCAGGGTCTGTGCCCTCAGCCACCTCCCCTGTCCTCTTCTTCATGTTATTTTTTATTTTATTATTTACACAGGGTCTCACTAAGTCCCCACACTGCCCGGGCTGGCCTCAAACTGCTGTCGCCCTGCCTTAGCCTTCTGAGCAGCCGTATCACACTCACGCACCACCCACACGCAGCCAGCTCCAGCCTGTGCCTCAGCACTGCTGTTGTCATTCATCCCTGTTGACTCACGTGGGCGTCGTCCACTTACCCCACAGCAGGGCTGCTACCCTGCCAGCCATGGGGAGTACTCCTCTGGGCTGCTGTTTTCTTTCTTTCTTTCATTCATTCATTCTTTCTTTCATTCTTTCTCTCTTGAATTTGGTACAGGGTCTCACTATACAGCTCAGACTCATGATCCTCTTGTTTTCAGCCTTCCCAGCACTGGGATTACGTACTTGGGGGTGGAGCCAGCACAGCATGTGGTACCGGGGATCGAACTCTGGTCCCTGTGCTTGCCTAAGCAGGAGCTTAGTCCACTGAGCTATCTCGCCAGCCTTCCCTTTGGGCTTCTGGTTTTTGCTTTAGGACCAATGACATCACTAACATTTGTGGGTGTGCAAGTAGACAGTGCAGTCTGGACTGAAGCGGGGTGTGAGAGGCAAACAATGTTCCCTCCCGGTCCTGGGTTTAAGGAACAGAATTGATGGGGAACTTCCTACGTTGAAGACAACAATGTGCAATATAGCAACCATTGTTGGATACTTATGGTCTCTTTTTTGTTTTAATTGTGTATCATTTCTAGTGTCTTATCTATTATTTTTCAAATAAAATTTAAAAATTAAATATAAAAAGTGGGTGAGCTTCTACAAGTGGGAAAGTGGAGACCCAGGTCTCCTTGGGACTTGCCCAGGCAGGGGTTGGGCTGGCCATAGGCCCTGCAGGCTTCATTCCAGTGCATGGCTGGTGACAGCCCTTGGGAGACGCTGAGTCGGGGCTGGCTTGGGGCAGGTTTTTCTGGAGGCCAGCTGTGCAGGACCTGCTCCGAGCACTCCAGTTGTTGGCATCTGGCGGCCTGCATGAGTGGGAAAGGGGACCCATAACAGGCCCAGCTTGCCTGGGAATGACACTCTCCAGAGCCGAAGACCTTTCCATTGCCAGGAATTCTGGGTGCAGAAGGCTCAGGAGACACCCTGCCTCTCTCTGTGCAAGGTGCTACTCTGCAGGGAGGTGGCTTTCCTGGCCACAAGGCCCACTGTCTGGAGTGGCTGTGCCACACTGAGCGCAAGGCCTGAGGCCTTCTCTTCACCCCTTTTGGGTTTTAATTGCCTTTACTTTTCAGCAAACTGGCGGGTGTGAAATGGGAGCTCACTGCGGCTTTTTCTCACATGTGCTTCCCTGTTAATGAGACAGAACTTCTTTCCAAGGGATTATGGGTTACTGGTGTGTTCTTTCGCTCAGTCCCTGCTCCTTCTGTCTGTTGCTACTTTTCCCATTGGGTTATTTACCGTAGTCTGACTGTAGTCCAGCTAGATATTGCTCACCAGCCATCTGATGAATAATGTGTGTGTCGAACATCTTCCGTCACTTTTGAGAGTGCTGCAGGTATTGTCTGTGTTTCCAAACAGCTTGCCTCTGCTGACTTAAGGGAGGCTCGTCATTTGTGAAGGCTCTCGTTGGCCCTCAGAACTGGCTTTCCAATGTGCAAAGCCACCTTGCCCCTCGGGAAATAAATGTACCGGTGGAAAGTGTTTTGGAAGATAGCTTTTCTTATTTATTTATATTTGATATACAGGGTCTTGCTACATAGTTCAGACTCATAGTAATCCTCCTGTCTCAGCCTCCCCAGGATTACAGGCATGCGCCACCACGTCCAGTCTCAGTGGCCTCCCTGGTGTGTCCAGGGCTCGGGGGATAGAACCCAGGTCTTTGCACTTGCCAGACAGGCGCTTAGACCGCACAGCTATTTCTCTAGCCCTGGAGTACAGCTTCTCAAAAGTAAGCAGAAGAGGAATGGAAATCGGCACGAGACTGTTTTATGTTAAGTGCCATCCATTGCTTCTATTCTTCCTGGTAGCCTTAGAGACAGAAACGTGGCAGTATGTGCGTGCTGTCATTTATGTATAAGAAACACAAGTAACTTTTTTTTGGTCTTGGGAATCAAACTTATGATCTCTCACTTGCCAGGCAGGCCTTGTGCTGCTGAACTGTATCCCGGACCCTTTAAGTAACTTTTGAAAAAAATCTGCACTCAGTTATAAAAATTTACATGTGTACCTCTTTTTTAAAAACATGCTGTACTTGAAGAGCATGAACAAATGCATGTATTTGGCACTCATTAATTTCAGCAGGGGATGAGAATAAACTGTAATTATCCAATCGTGTTCTTTCTTCAAAGGACTTGGTGAATTTTATTCAAGCAAATTTTAAGAAACGTGAGTGCGTCTTCTTCACCAAGGATTCCAAGGCCACGTAAGCTCTCACTTCCCTCTGTTCTTGCTTCCATGTCTATAAATAAGGGAGTAGTAGCCCCTACTGCAATAGACAAATGCTCATTAGGCCATTACTAAGGATATTTCTGCTTACAATTCTCAGAAACTGTGATCAGGAAAGATTTAGTGAGATTTTAGACTTAGTGGTTGTTCTTGGGTCACATCCTTCCTTCCCTGTACACTTTGAGCTTGGGCAGCACCCAGTCTCGGTGACTGGTAGAGTCACCGAGAGGGCCATGCTCCCTCCCATATTCCCAGAGCCTGAGAGCCCCACTGGGGGCCTTGACGCTGAGAGCTGTTCTGTGGCTGGTGGAAGCGACATCTCGCCCCTGCAAAAGCGTGGCTCTTGTTGGCTCCTCTCCTAGGTGTGGTCCTTGGGCTTCCCTTCATCTATTTCGGATCCCATCTGCAGACAGCAAGGCTCAGTGCTCACAGAAGTGGCTCCTTTGAGTCCCACACCAGGAGCTGCTTGACGAATGCTAAGGAGCAAGTGATCGAATCAGCAGATGGAGACCTGCTGGCCAGCGTCTTGCGCCCCTACGCTCAGCACAGAGAAGGGCTCGAGATCTGTTTTTATTTGAAGCAAGGAAAAATTAAGCAGTGAATCCTCTCCTCTATCCTGTAGAGAGCTGGCATGGGTGCTGACACATCCCAAAGGAAAGTGGGAGAGTGACAGTGATAGACAGAGAGAAGAACATCAGGAAGCAGCCTGAGGTCAGGAGGGCCCCTGGAGTTTAGAGAATGAGTGGAGGAAACTGCTCAATTCTAGGTGACTTCTTTTATCCTCCTTTGGCCAAACTGAGTGATGCCCCTGGGAGTTGCTCCACTTGGCAACAGAATGCTGGGGGAGGTTGAGTTGACATCTGGGCTCTAGCTCAATATTTATAGCTCTAAAAATATTGACTTTTGACAAATATTTTGAAATGAGAATTCTTTCCATACTGCCTAGTGATTAAGACTTGCAGTTACAAAGGTCTTGTATCAGTCAGCTTTCCAGCACCAGAACAAAATACCTGACAGAAACAACTTAGAAATGGAAGGATTTATTTGGGTTTCAGAAACTTCGTCCACAGTTGGCTGGGCCCCAGGCAGAAACCTCAAGGCAGCGGGTGTGGAAGAAGAAAGCCGGTCACTTCCTGGCAGCCAGGAGGTAGAGAAACAGGAAGAGTCAGAAAGGCTGGGCTGGAAGGAGACGCCCACCCTGAAAGACACAGCCCAGGCACCTCCCTCCTATAAGTAGAGCCCAACTCCTTGCAGCTGTTCCAGCTATAATCATTAATGGATTCCTTGGATGAAGATGGTGCCCTCAGGCTCCAGTCCCCTTCTGAGAGCCTCTGAACACATGGGCCTTTAGGGGGCATTTTTAATCCAAATCATAACAGAGAGGCACAAATGGCTCCTCAGGAGAGAGAGTGGCCGGGGTGGATGCCAAGACTGCATGTGTGGAAGCTCAGCAGGCCTCCTCCGGCCTTTCGTCTCTCACTCTCCCTGTACCTGTGCTTTCTTCTTTCTCAGTTCAGACTTAGCCTGACAGAGGATGGGAGAAGTTCTTTTGTTCCTAATTCCAAATTCAGCACCAAATTCCCAAGAAAGAGATGCTGGTGTAGCTCCTATATGAACTTCCTGTCCCTGGTCCTAGCAGGTGTGGCGAGTGCCACAGCACTCAGTCTCATGGCTGCTCTTCGCCCAGCTGTGCAGACAACGCTGAGAGCAATTTCAGTCTCACTAGGCCTGTGGCAAGCGGGGCCTCTCCAGCTGGGACAAGCACGGATGTGCCAGCCTTGGCGTTCCCCCCGGAGGACCAGCTGCCGGGAAGCTTCTGGTTGAGCTGTGTTAGTTCATTACAGAGTCGCTCTGCCAAGTGGCTTTAGGAGCTACTGTGGGCTTCCAAAGGGCTTAATAAGTAGCACAATGAGCCGAGCAACTCTACATCCACGTAACCCAGTTGAAACCAGTTGTTTCCAGGCAGTAGAAGCTTGGTCACAACTTGGTCTGGGCTTCTGGAATGGCCAGAAAACATGCCTACAAGGCACTGGTTTTTTTTCCTTCTCTTGTATTTTTGGAAACAGTCTTAGAAATGCATTGTCATTCACATCAGTGCCACCTCCTGCCACAGAGTGTGGTTAGAAGAACTGTACATTTTCCCCTGTGTCAAGTGAGTTCAGTGGCGAAGACCATCTTGAGAACAGACCCTTCCTCTGATCATGACAGTGCTACACATCCATCCTTGTCTTTTAGAAGGGAAAAATAAAGACTTTACAAAAGTCACCCAGGATGCCTGAAGAGACAAACTATTTACAAGAAGACCAAACAATGTTTTCACTATAAGCTACTTCCCAGAAGGCCTATGAGTGTGTTCAGTTTCTCATCCACTCAGAGGATATCTGCTGAGGACCCTTGCATCCCCAGGGCACTGGGACAGAGGATTCAAGACAGCGTAGCAGGAAGCAGCCCTAACCAGATGTCCTCATGTTGTGTATTGTTATTTTGCCAGCCTGTCCGGGGAATCCTTGTTTATGGCCACCCTGTATGGCTGTGCACTCTACGCAGATGCTAGAGATGAAGCAGGGTTGAATTCTGGGATTATCTATGCACCTTGGTGGTACACTTTCCTTTGAGTTAGAGTTAGGATGGCCACATACTTTATTGTAGAAACTGGGAAACCAGTAAGAGTGACAGAGACATAAATGTTCTAGGCATGGATAAGAGCTGTCAACTTGTACTACATGAGGAGAGTGGGGATATTTGGTGGCCTGTGATGGTGATGGCCCTGTCTTGCTTCAAAGCAAAGCACTAGTGCTTTGGCCCTCTGTCTTGTTCTTGGGGCCAGAAGTGTTTCCCACTCTGTTGATCACCAGCTCCCTTGGGAAAGCACTCTGATGAATTCCTAGCACTCACTCTTTGGAATTTTGTCCAAAAAATGCCGGGAGAGAGAGAGAGAGAGAGAGAGAGAGAGACAGAGAGAGAGAGAGACAGAGACAGAAAAATAGAGAGACAGAGACAGACACAGACACAGAGAGACAGAGAGAAAGAGACAGACACAGAGAAATAGAGATAGAGAGGGACAGAGACAGAGACAGAGACAGAGACAGAGACAGAGAATAGAAATGAGGGGGTGACAAAGGCAGAAAGAAGCTGGGAGGAGGGCAAACTCGGTCTCTTTAGGGGAGCCTTGTTTGGGGCCAAATCAGAACCTTTTCATTGTTACTGTTCATTTCCTTGGAGATTCAGCTCTCAGGATGTAATGCAGCCTGATCTAGAGAGGGGTCCAATAGCTATGGAATGTCTTAGACCTTTCGTTACTGCGCTTTTGCCTGCTTTTGGTTGCTGCTCCTTTGCGATTTCCTGACTTGTATGCATGGCACACTGGAACTGATGGTCACCTGACTGGGCACAGCCCACGCCCAGGCCAGCTGGGTGGTTTGCATCATTTCACATGCTTGCAACAGGCAGGAGAGGGATCACGCCAGGACCCAGGAAGGTGCTGTGCTTGTAACGCCACACACACCACCAGGCTTGTACTCGACCCCTTCCAAGAGGTTGTGAGCAGCTTGAGGACAGGAATCATATCCAGATTTCTTGGCTGATGAGACGCTCAGCCTGGATCTAACTCATAGCAGGTTTCTGACCAGCATTTGTTGAATGAGTACAGCGTGCTGTGGAAGTAGGAGTGGAAGAGGTCGGCCACTTACCGTGTATGCTTTTATTCTCCTCCAATGTCCTGTCATGGGCTCGTGTCATCTAATGGATGATAACTTTTAGTTCCTCTGCACTTTGGATGGAAAGTGGCAGTGCTTTGTCTATCCCTAATTATCAAAGACTCCCAAGCAGCGAAGGTCCAGCATAGGAACCAAGGTCCCCGTAAATCCTGGGCTATTCGAGACTCCTGCCATGGGACCCCATCTCCCTGGGGAGCACAGCCCATGGGAAGGACAGCTCACACCATTTTAGGAAAGCACTTTTGGCCGGGAAGCTGTCTGGGTTGGCACTGGGGCCCTGAGGTCCACCCCAGGGCTCCTGTAGGCTAAGAACTGTGTGAGAAGCTGAAGAAACGGGTTCCAGGGGTCTTGGGTGTTGTTTGTTTCTTTTCTTTTCTTTTTTTGAGACAAGGTCTCCATATGTAGTTCAGGCTAGAACACCTATAACTTGGGCTGGCCTCAAATTCATGATGGACCTTCTGCCTCAGCCTCCCAGGCATTGGGATCACCAGCAAGAGCCACCACATCTGGCTGTTTCCAGATTTCAGAGAGCCAGCCCCACAGGTGCCTCATGACTGCTTGCCCAGCAATATTCTCAGGAAGGCAGGGCTATGGCCTCCTTCTGCCCCAGCTCCTGGTCCAGGGCGGTAGAAAGCAGGCAGAAAGCATCAGGGTGCTGCAGTGTCTTTGCAACCAAGAAAGATGAGAGAAATAAGACGCGATTGCAGAAGTCCTGCAGTTAGGGCGTGATCGGACAGTTTCTTTCTTGCGTGCTTAAGATGAGACTGCATGGTTTGCTCCAAAAGTGGGTTGAATGACTTGCACAGACCAAATGGAATCTGTTTCTGCCCATGCATGCTGCACGGCTCAGGGAAAACATGTGCAAGTGCGGCTACGCCCAGAGCCAGCACATTGAAGGCACCCAGGTGAACGACAGCGAGAAGTGGAACTACAAAAAGCACACCAAGGAGCTTCCCACAGACGCCTTTGGGGATATTCAGTTTGAGACACTGGGGAAGAAAGGAAAGGTAAGCCACAGCCAAGCACATGGGCCACCTTAGCTGAAGTCATCTCACAGCGTGGAGGTAGGGAGCAACTACCAAAAGTGACGGCAGAAAAAGAGGAGCTGTACAAGGGCGAGAAGGTGGTGGACCGATGGCACTCACCAGGGAGACTCAGCAGGGTTGTCACGGAACCACTGCAGGCAGCCACTGACACGCACGTTGAGGGGTCCAGCTACCCAAGGCCCTCCTACCCTGTGATGGGGCCGGTGGCATTCCTAAGAAGGCACGTGGCCCCTTGTGTGGCGACACTTCATTCTTTACACCCTCAGGTTCTCACTGTTTGCCACAGGAGCTTCTAAGTTCTCCCTGTTTCAGTGACGGGCCTGTCTACAGGCTACCAGGGCAGGCAGCTGGCACCTCTGGGGCTCATGGCCCTCGGCACTCTCCTTTCAGCTGCCCCACTCCATCCGTGGCCTTCTCCTCCTCAGGGGCATCCTTCACCCCTGGCCCTCAGCTGCACCCCCAGGGGCCCCAGGAGGGCTTCCCACAGCACTCCTGTAAAAGGTGTGGGTGGAGGCCCAGGTCCCATCAGACTCGTGGCACTTTCTGAGACACCTTTGCACCCCTCCTATCCAGTCACCCCAGGAGCCCACTTTTCACCCCCAGTGCCTCGATGCTCCGATACCTCCTTTCCCCCCAAGTAGCCCTGCAGCTCCCCACGCAGGGAGGGAGGGCCAGGTAGGAGGAGAGCGCGACCCTGGTTCTCCTCCTTCCTGCAGTACATCCGTCTGTCCTGCGACACGGATGCAGAGATCCTCTACGAGCTGTTGACCCAGCACTGGCACCTGAAAACGCCCAACCTGGTCATTTCCGTGACCGGTGGCGCCAAAAACTTCGCCCTGAAGCCGCGCATGCGCAAGATATTCAGCCGGCTGATCTACATCGCGCAGTCGAAAGGTGCTCACCTGGGGGTGGGGGTGGGGGTGCGAGGGGGGCCGCGGGGGTGGGGGTGGGGTGGGTGCCACGCGGGACAGCAGGAC